CCCCGCCACCTCTAGTATATGGGACCGGCACCCTACTCCTTTGAGCCATGGGCACTGCACCTTCTCTTCCATTCTTAATGGTCAGCTTGAGCAAAACCTTTAATTCTTTTTTTTTTCTTTTTTTGAGATAGAGTCTCAAGCTGTCGGCCTGGGTAGGGTGCTGTGATGTCACAGCTCACAGCAACTTCAAACTCTTGGGCTTAAGCAATTCTCTTGCCTCAGCCTCCCAAGTAGCTGGGACTACAGGCACTGGCCACAACACCCAGCTATTTTTTGGTTGTAGTTGTCATTGTTGTTTGGCAGGCCCAGGCTAGATTCAAACCTGCTAGCTTGGGTGTATGTGGCTGGCGCCAAGCCCCTTTAATTGGTTCTTAATATTCTCACTTTCAGTTTGCCGGCTATGCCTTCAAGAACCTGGGGATCCCGAAAAATTAGGGGAATTTCTTCAGAAAGACAATCTGAGCGTGCATTATTTTTGTCTTGTGAGTATAAGGCCTCCTTTGCTTTAAAAAAAGTTCTATGGCTTCTGATATACAGACTATGCTCTATTTTTGCATCTAGTGACTCAGTTCCATAGCCCTATTTGTTTTTCTTATTACCTCTTTTAAAATTCATTTTTAAAAAATAATATGGGCAGGGCATGGTGGCTCATGCCTATAATCCTAGCACTCTGGGAGGCCCAGGCAGGTGAATTGCCTGAGCTCACAGGTTCAAGACCAGCCTGAGCAAGAGTGAGACCCCGCCTCTAAAAATAGCCAGGCGTTGTGGTGGGTACCTGTAATCACCACTACTTGGAAGCTGAAGCAAGAGAATCACTTGAGCCCAAAAGTTTGAGGTTGCTATGAGCTATGACACCATGGCACTCTACTAAGGACAACAAAGTGAGACTCTGTCTCAAAAAAAAAAAAAATGTTCCTGGTATAAAATCTATCAGTTTAAATACTTCAAAGTATAAGAGAAATAAAATATGTCTTCCAAAAGCAATATTCCCAGTTGTCTCTCTCCCTAGAAATAAATGCTATTAACAGAACATCCTTCCAGTTTTTTTTT